TAGAATTTTTCGCCAGCACGATTATCTCCCTACATTCCTTAGCAAAACCCTTTTTCAGTTTATTGTATTTGCATGCTTATAGGTTTACGGATTCGGCTACCATACACGACTGTTGTATAGAAATCAACACAAATACCAGCTGTCTTTTAGCGTCAATAAATGAGTTTGTTCCATTACACTATACGTCATCCATTTACGCCTAATGGAATAAGTATTCTTTTTTAAATTGAATTTTTGTTAATTTACTCATTCTAATAGAACGTTTTCAAACTTTTTCAATTGGTTGTTTTGTTTGGGCTTTTTATTGCATCTCTGATGCTCTTTTCAATATTACCTCCGTTTGTAACACTTTTTTGTGCTTTGTTTTTTCTTAAAGGACTATGCGCAACCAGTCCACCTTTTTCAAACATCGAAAAGCTCCATGTAAGTCAATTTTTACTGCTTACCAATTATTGTTATCAAAATTACCATTTCCACGTTAACGTCAACCTCACACTCATTTGTAGTATATTTCTTGCAATGTAAATCGTTTGTTGTGTTAAGAGGAGAAGTCTGCGTGGAAATCTTTATCTTACTTCTTTAGCAAGCCCATAGCTTCAGTGATCCCTTTCCCCTCAATACAGCTATGTGAATGCACGCTTTGCTATTGATGAACGCAACTATGGTATGTTTTGATCAGCCCTTAGGGGATAACAGACTTACATACAGCTCCGCTGTGAATCTATGTCCGGGTCCTCCTTCTAAATGGGCAGCCGACCTGACAAACATTTTATTGCTGTACATGTGTACAGAAAGCAAGAGATAGAAGAATTGAAAGCCAAGAAGAGAAGGGAGGAAGTAGCTGTACCTGGACGACCTACTCTAAACTATATATTGTGAGGCACCGTTTACGAATTCTGTTGCTTTTTTACCTCAGCAACGGATAAAGCAATCTCATGATTATTCCCATCAGCTGTCCTTGTGCAGTGATAAAGTAAATTTGAGTCTTTTCGTTGTTTTCTTCTACTTCTTGGACTCTCAGAATACCTCCATTTATCTGTTCTGCTTTGTATCTTTGAATTTTTTTTTTATAGATGACTCATTCGTTTCCGTGAAATTAACGCTCATTTTGTGTTTCAGATATAATTGATATAT